GGCCGAAGATCTCCTCCTTGGCGATGCGCATGTTGTCGGTGACGTCGGCGAAAACGGTCGGCTCAATGAAGTAGCCCTTGCCGGCGAGGCGTTTTCCGCCGGTCACCAGGCGGGCGCCCTCCTTCTTGCCGCTCTCAATCAGATCGATGATCTTCTCCGTCTGCGTGGCGTCAATCTGCGGTCCCTGGGTGGTCTTCGCCTCAAAAGGGCTGCCAAGGACCTTGCGCTGGGCAATGGCCGCTGACTTCTGGACGAACTCCTCGTAAACCGATTCGTGGACAAAGGTGCGCGTCGCAGCACAGCAGCACTGGCCCTGGTTGACCATGCAGCTGGCNCTGGCAATCTCAGCAGCGGCAGCGATGTCAGTGTGCTGGGTGACCACCAACGGTGACTTGCCGCCGAGCTCCAGGCTGACGCGCTTCAGCGTGGCGGAGGCGTTGCGACTGATCAGCTTGCCAATTTCAGTACTTCCAGTGAAAGCGATCTTGTCGACGTGCGGGTGCTCGACGAGGGCGCCACCGGCTGTAGGCCCAAAACCGGGAACGATGTTGACGACACCAGGTGGGAAACCGGCCTCCGCGACCAGCGATCCCATGTAGATGGCTGACAGCTGGAAAGGAAATGGAGATTTAGAACATGAGTACAAACTCCTCCGCCTATTTCGGCTCAGGTGTGCTTGGAGTTTTCCAATCAGCAGGACTTACCGGCGTCTGCTCAGCCGGCTTCAAAACGACCGTGTTTCCACAGGCCAGTGCTGGCGCCCACTTCCAGCTGTTGAAAAAAGAATATTGAACATTAGATAGAGGATAAATAGCTGGTTACGCCCACTGCCACGCCCACCTCAGCATCAAAATCGGGAAGTTCCAGGGGATGATTTGTGAGCACACGCCCACCGGTTCAATTTTGGTGAAACTGGCCACCGGGCCGTCGGCGGGAATCGTCTTGCCGTGAATCTTGTCCGCCCAGCCGGCGTAGTAGGTGAAGGCGCCGATGGAGGCCTTCACGTCGCCGACCGCCTGCTCCAGCGGCTTCCCATTGTCCAGCGTCTCCAGCTCGGCGATGTACTGCAGGTCGCGGGTCATCAGCGAGGCGAGCTTCGCGAGGAGGCGACCGCGGGCGCTGGCGTCCATCTTCCGCCAGGCGGAGCCCACCTTGAAGGCGGCTCGGGCGGCCTGCACGGCCTTGTCGATGTCGGCCTGTGTTGGTGGAACGAATGTTTATGGTTAGTATTTCGAAATGACNGCGGCTCGGGCGGCCTGCACGGCCTTGTCGATGTCGGCCTGTGGTAATGGAACGAATGTTTATGGTTAGACATTTCGAAATGATAGTCTCCCTCAAAACTGCCTTACCTTGTCACCCTCCTGAACGTGGGTGATCACCTCCTCAGTGGCGGGATTCACCACCGGGAAGGTCTTGCCCGAGACCGAGTTGACGAACTCGTTGTTGATGAAGAGCTAATGAGATGGAGAAGGTGGTCATCAGTAATTTAAATTCCCAAAGAAAAGAATTGACAACACATACCTGAGTGTACTTCACTTGAACCATGATTCCTCTTCTTTTTCTTTAGATAATCAAGATGAAAGACAACAAAGAAGCAAGCTGTGAGCTGACTGACTGGCTGGCTGGCTGGCAAGCTGCGGTGGCTAAGGTGGCCACTGGCAGTTTGTGGACAGCATTTTATATCAACTCGCCTACGCCAACATGAGTGCTTC